CTCCAACTCCTGGGCTCAATCAATTCTCCTGCCTCCACCTGCCAAGTAGCTGGGACTACAGGCTCCTGCCACAACTCCTAGCTATTTTTTGGTTGCAGCTGTCATTATTGTTTGGCAGGCCTGGGCTGGATTCGAACCCACCAGCTCAGGTTTATATGGCTGGCACCTTAGCTGCTTGAGGCACAGGTGCCCAACCACCTCAGGGACGCTTTTGCATGAACTCTGAAAGAAAGTAAACGTGATACCGCCTGTCATGTGCACAAACAGTTATTTACAATGAGGCTTTGGGGACAGACTAAGTTGAGAAGATTACATGATTAAAAACATTTTGTTTGGGGTATCTTTTAGGAGAGCCAGACTTTCCAATTTTGACTTTGCCTAAGTAAATCCTGATCCCGCTTCTGAGTCTTTTGAGATATGTTGGCCAAGTGTGGGCTTCTTGCTTGGTGACCAGGTTCCTGGGATTACATAGTGTGACAGTCCTGGGTCTTCACATACACAGTTTTTGCCTCAGTACCTATGTACAGCTTTCTTGGCCTCTGCTCTGGCTTATGCTGTCTTATTTTAAATATAACGGTTTTTGCATTTGCAGCTGGCTTGCGTTTACTCACCCTGCATGCAGCCCAGTTTAGTGCCTTCCTTCTGGACAACTACATCTCTTTATTTGAAGTACTGTCAAAATGGTGTGGCCATACAAATGTGGAATTGAAAAAAGCTGCATATTCAGCCCTGGAATCCTTTCTGAAACAGGTACTACAAATTCAGCTTTCATTTAGAAATATTTTTTCCATGTAAAGAGTTAAATTCCAATCTTATGCATACATATTTAAGAAACAGATATAAGTCCCTTTATAGCTTCCTCATTAAATGAAAACAAAACTGTTATTGATCAGCCAGCCTCATAGGAGACAGCTGAGTTGAAAGAGCTAGGGAGATAACAAATTTGATTAGAGCCTCAGAGCCAAGCCTGAGATGAGCCCAGTGGAGTGCAGATGTGGAAGTGGGCAGGGCTGGGCAGTGGGGCTTCCTCGAGCCAGAGAGGGTCTGGGTAGGGAGGAGCCCTGTTCCCTCAAGTTGAGGGCCAGCTGTCTGGAGTCAGATCACCTCAAGAATGAGGGGAACCTCCTTGCCTTTCTCTTTTCCAATGGGTAAGGTGAGGGCTGAAGAACTTGAGCCTGCAAGTTTGCCAACATGTCTTGCCTGGCCAGACAGAATGTGCTTGTGGTTCTGAGCACTGGTCTGGAGGCTGTCCTGAGGTCAGAGGTGTCTGGAAGGCCTGCAGGACAGGCTAGTTACCAGGGAACTGCCTGCTTAGGTTGGCTCTGATAGAAAATACTGGAGATTTACAAAAGAGGTTTTGCTGGAAGCAGGCCTGTCTGTTTCATTTTGGCCATTCTTGTGGGTATATAATGTCATTTTATTGTTATTTCCATTGTAGTTTTAGTGGTGACCATCCATGTTTTGCCTGTAGTTACTAGTTATTCTTATTTCTTGTTTTGCAAGATACTCATTTAGATATTTTGTTCTTTTAAAACATGTCTTTTTATTAATGAATTTTAGGAGTTTCTGCAGAGTCTGGGTACAAGTCTTTTTCTAAAAATAATACAAATAGTTTTTCTTCTGTGGCTTGCCTTTTCATTTTCTTAACAGTATTTTTCAAAGAATAGAAGTTTAAAATTTTGATGAAATCCAGTTTATCAATTTTTTTATCTGATTCCTTTGTGTATCCTTTCTAAAAAACCTTTTTGCCTATCCCACAGTTGCAAGGTTTTCTGACAGGTTTTCTTTGGGAAGTTTAGAAGTGTGTAGTTTTAGCCTTTATGTTTAGGTCTGTAATCCATTTCAAATTAATTTTGTGTATGTTGTGAAGTAAGTGTTAAAGTTGATTTTCCCCATTTGTCGGTTGTTTCTACCACCATTTGTGGAAAAGACTCTTCTTTCCCCAGTGACTTACCTTGACACATTTGTCAAAAATCTGTTGAGCATCTGTAAATGGATTCATTTCTGGGCTCTCCACTTTGTTCCCCTGATGCTTATGTCTGTCTATACGTCAGTGCCCTGATTCCAGCTTTATATAAAGTCTTGAAATTACATAGTGGGTGTACTATAGCATCTTCTTTTTACTATTATTTTAGCTATTGTATGTGCATTTTTGAATTTAAAAAATACTTTTATGGGAAACAAATATTTTATTCAATAGCTTTACATTAAGTTCATAGGAAAGGCTTTGCAGGCTAGCTGTTCCTACCAGCAGAAGAACCTCTGTAAGTTGGCCACACAAGGGACTGTGACAAACTGGTCAACACATGGAGGTGGTCACCATAAGGAAATAGGCCTTCTATACTGAGAGACTGGTTTAGTCTGTGAAAATTAGATCAGCTTGAGGAAGTAGTCAGCTATGGAGTGTTGTGACCAGCTTCCCAGCCCATTTTCCTCCTCCTCCCCCCTCCCCCCAGAGTCGACTTTGGGAACAAGGCAAGTCCCTCCTTCCCCCAGGGTGGCTGAGAATGTGCTTCCCAGCCACCTTCCCAGGCCCCCTCCTTCCCCCTAGGGTTGCCAAGAACAAGCTTCAGAACAAGGTAGAAAAATCCCAAATTTCACAAAACCCTCAAGTTCTCAGTAGATGAACAATGGTGGAAAACAGACTTGATTAATTACTGTTGTATAACCATAGCCATTGTAATATAAAATGTATCCATTATCAACCAAAGCTATATTAATCATTGTTACATTACTGTAACCCTTGCTGTATCTGTGACTACCCAAGCTGTAACCCTCCCTTAACTAGCCACATTTCGCTTCTGTAATATGCTTGCACAAAACCATAAAAGACAATCCACATTTCTATTTGGGTGCTGACTGCCTCTCAACGCAGCAGTCCCTGTGGCAGGTAAAATAAATTACCAATTAATTAATCTAAGTGTGGGTCCAACTCTATTTATCAGGTCATAGAGGGTACAACAGGAGGTTCTGCTGTAATTGAAAAAATGTAGAAGGGTACAAAGAAGACCACTAAAATTTTCCAAAATCTCGCCACCAAGGAAAAAAATTATTTAGCATGTTGGTTACCTTTCTCTCTCCTTCCCTCCTCTCTTCTCTGTCTTCCCCTCCCTCTTCAGGAGGAAGGAGTGAAGAGAGAGGAAGAGAGATACCTTTACATAAAGGAATTTTATTCATAATTTTTTGGCTTAAGATTCTCTACTCCATTGGGTATATTTTCCTGACAGCAAGTTGAGATCTGTGTGGTTAATTTTCAGCGGCAGCATAATATATCATTTTGTTTAGGACTCATTATTTTTTGATTTGTCCTTTATCCTTTATTATTGAGTTGTGTTTTGTTTTTGCTTTTTTTTTTTTTTTTT